ATACTTGAGATATTTTGTGTGTGCCACCAGGAAAAAGAGAGCCTCTGAATATGCTCCAGAATAAAACAGTTTTATCTACTGAGAGATATTCTAAACACCAATTGCATTTATTGTCAAATGGTGATAATTTATTAAAAAAAAAAAAAAGACATCTGAAAATGTCTATTTGCAACAGTATTCCTTACTTCTGTGTGAAATATGAAAACAGGAAACTCTGGTATGGATCTATTAATGCACAATTTACATGACTTAAATTAAATTGCATTTAAGCGCTACAGGATTACCAGCATTCCCAAACAACTTTATAAATTTGAAAGCTATGCTCAGTTCAGAACAGCCAAAGGTTTCTATATGAAAACATTAAACTAAAAATTTTCCTGAACACAGGTAGGTCTACAAATGTATCTGTTAAAATAATACCTTATGCGATGAAACACTGTTTTAAAAAAAATATGACATGAACAGTTTTTAGAACCCACAAAACCACACTAGAGCAAATGTTCTCCTTCAATAATGAATTTTTAATTATGCAATTACATCTTATGAACTCTTTTTGTCATGTAATTCCTGTAATAACAGAGTACATAAATTCTAATGCTCTCTGAGTGGGGAATGGTAATATAAACAGGATCCCCAGAACCTCCTCCTTATGGCACAATCACCTAAGGTTTTTTACCTAATGTACTACATAGCAGGTAAACATTGAAATCTAAACTTGTGAAATTTAAATGGCCATTATCAAAGTTAAAATGCCTAAAAACTGAGCTACCTTAGAAAGGTTTGCTGTAAGTTTCAGTTAGTCATCCCAATCAGTAATGTTTTGTGAATGAGTGTGACTAAATTCATGTTAAAGAAAACTGTAAAATGGGATCGCTTAAAGTTTGTGGGGCTTTTTCTTTTTAAAAAGGCCTTGATTTTTCCCATTTAAGAATTCTGAGCCATCAGAGTAGTTTTTAGAAAAGGTAAATACGTTGACAGCAACAGATAGACCTAAGGATGTAGGTGCTGTATGTATGAGAAATGGGAATACAAAATGATAAGTGGCTTTATAAAATTCACGACACTAAGAGCACCCTGATTGTCTGTTCAGTTATACCCAAGTCAAACAACTCAAGTACAGTAATAGGGCAAGATCCTCACTCTTGTTCTAGCCCCTTTATGCTATGTGAGAGGGCCAGAGATGCATAAAGGGCCCCTAAAAACCCTGATTGTACCTGGTGGAGAATTTCCCCTGGTACTAGCACTGTGGAAATAGCTGCTAAGTTTGCCTTTGGATGACCTTATTGTAAGCCCTAGCACGCAGGGGCTTTGCCAAGACAGGAGGGGTCTGGGCCACCGTGCTGCAAAGATTCCAGGTAACACCGTAGCCCACTGTATTGGGGATGCTGCTGTAACTTAGGCACCTATCCAGAGCTGTCTAGGTTATGCTGTCAAGTATCAGAGGGGTAGCCGTGTTAGTCTGAATCTGTAAAAAGCAACAAAGGGTCCTGTGGCACCTTTAAGGCTAACAGAAGTATTGGAGCATAAGCTTTCGTGGGTGAATGCCAACTTCATCAGACGCAAGTAATGGAAATTTCCAGAGGCAGGTATAAATTAGTATGGAGATAATGAGGTTAGTTCAATCAGGGAGGGTGAGGTGCTCTGCTAGCAGTTGAGG